CTGAGGCTGGGACAGCCTTGTAAAGTTTCCCAGAGAACAGAGAAAGGTCCGGACCTTTGCATCCTTCATCCCCTCCCCCATCTAATGAGATCATGGGAGAGACTTATATAAAATGTGGTTTGGGAATGGGAGGGATGAAGCATTTGAACGGTAGTAAGTCTTGGTGAACCTGAGGCAATCTTCTATGAGGACAAATAGAACACTACTAATTAGTTATTTGTGAAAGAAATCCTCTCCACAATTCCATGACCTCTGCCATCCAGCAGGCATGTATCCTGGCAACAGTCTCTGGGCTTTCTGCCTGGTTTTGCATCATTCCCCCCAGGGTAAGCACATCATTTTTATGTGTTCTATTACTTCTTATCTTCCTGAAAAAGAAGCAGCTAAGCAAATCTGGAAAATAAAATCTTCTACTCTCATAGTGAATCCAAGGGGATGTAGACAAGGCTGTGTATAAGAACTTCAATAAAAATTAATCGTAACTCACTTGGGGATTGTGATACATACTTGTAATTCCAACACTCAGGAGGCAGAGGCAGGTGGATCTCAAGTCCCAGGTCAGTATGGGCTACAGAACAAGACTATGCCTAAACAAATAAACCTGGACCAATGGGAAACCATATCTGGCTGGGTTGAATCCTCATACATAACCTATGTATCATTGAGGCTTCTCATACTGTTGTTCATTTAAGTTGAAAGAGTAGTTTCTCTTGCCCCAAGTGGTCATCCTGGCTGCTTTTAGTCCCCTAGGCAAGAAAAGTGCCTCTGGGAATCAAGCTGTCAAGAGAGATTCGCTCTAACTGATACCATATTTTTAATCATATTCCTTTGCAGTAAGGAAAGAAGCTTAGGAGCATTTGACTAGCTTGTGGCAAAAACCAGCATTTGTCTCATGTCTGTTGACCAAGCCAGAAGCCCAGCACCCTTTCTGATATTCTTCTCTTCCTCACTTCTTACACCCAGGTTGTCCTTAATTTTCATTATTTTGGATTAAAGATATTCCTAAGACTTAGCTCCTCCTGTCTTTGCTTAGGTTCTACTGACTCTTTTGGACACTATAGTAGCTTTATTGTTGGTCCCTTGGTCTTGACCTTGATTTCTCATTCTAGCCCATAGCCTATTGTGCACACAGCAGCCACTGTTACAATTGGTTTTCTTTCTTTCAGTTTTTGCTGTTGTTGTTTTAAATAGTAGTAGGGATTGAACTCAGGGTCTTGCCTAGCACTTGCCTAGCAAGTGCTCTGCCTCTTGAGTCCTATCCCAAGGCATTTTGCTTTTAGTTTAGTTTTCAAATAGGATCTTGACTTAATTTTACTAGAGGTAACCTTGAAATTGGGTCTTTCTATCTCTGCTTCCCAAGTAGCTAGTATTATAGACATGCATGTAATGATTGTGTGTGTGTGTGTGTGTGTGTGTGTGCATGTGGGCTATTTCTGGGGCTTGAACTCAGGACCTGAGTGTTCCTGAGCTTTGTTCCTCAAGGCTACTGCTCTACCAGTTGAGCCACAGCTCCACTTCTACTTTTTGGTGAGTAATTGGAGATAAGAGTCTCACAGGCTTTCCTACCTAGGCTGGAACCACTGGCACCTGGCATGTGTAATGACTTTAAAGCAGAAATTTGGACAACTCATTGTCTTCTGTAAACCTTCACAAGGTCCTAGTCCTCTGTACGATAATGCCCTAAGTCTCTTTCCATACGTATAAATGTCATCCTTAACAGCAGTTATAACAAATTTTACTATAAACACAACTGTTGTGGCTTAACCATAAGGACACGTGTTGTTTCTTGAGCTAAAGTAAATAATTGTGAGGCCTAAGGTAGACAGCCTTACAAATGTTGTTTGAGATCTTGTCATTTTTCTCCTTTCTCTTTCATTCTCAGGCTGCTCACTATGGTAATAATATGGCTTTTGTAACTCTAGATATCACATCCAAGTCACAAGGGGAAGAGAAGGATGAAAACAGGAATTGCTATTATTAACAAAAAGAATCAGGAGCTGGGTGCCAGTGGCTATGCCTGTAATTCTAGCTACTCTTAGAGGATCAAAGTTTAAGCCAGCCCAGCAGAAGACTCCATAAAACTCATCTCTAATTAGCCAGCAAATAAGTCAGGGTACAGTTATGGCTCAAGTGTTAGAGCACCAGCCAGGAGCAGAAAAATCTGAATAAGTGCTAGAGGCCCTGAGTTCAAGCTCTGGTATGTGCATGTGCACACACACACGTGGGCGCATGTGCACACACACACAAACACACACACATACCCCATACCATACCACACACACACACAGAAATAATCAACTACTTCTCCCTTGGATATCCTTAACCCTTAAAAAACTATTTGGTTAGAACTTAATGCTAAATCCTAGAAACTAAGCATTATCATCAAAAGAGATGGCTATGACCTGTGCTACAATTTGAATGTGTCCCCAGAGTTTATGTGTTGGAAACTCAGTTCCCTATGCAATGCTTTGGGGTCAGGCCTGAGGACAGACATTTGGGCCAAAGGACCAGCCCCATGAATAGAAACAGATTAATGAATTATCCAGGAGTAAGTTATAAAATAATGAACTGGGTAGATTAATGAATTATCCAGGAGTAAGTTATAAAATAACGAACTGGGTCCTATGTGTTTTCTCTCAAGAACCCCCCCCCCCCCCCCCGCCACCACAACTCCCTCTCTCTCCATCATGCCTTTCAACCTTCTGCCATGGAATGATCCAAGTAAGAAGACCTTTGCCACATGACAGTCTCTTGTTCTTGGATCCTTATTCTCTAGAATTGTTAAGAAATAAATTTCTTTACACATTATACCACTGTCTCTGGTATTCTGCTAGAGCAGAACACAGTGGATTAAAACAGTTGATTAAGATCTGTTGTGTTTTGTACTCTGGCCCTGGGCACTCAGCTATCTAAACAAAAATTAAAGTTCTTATAGGAGGAAGGAGAAATGGTTAATGGGATGGCCACCTACAGTGTAGCTGTTAGCCTAAGAAGAACCCTTCAAGCTGGCCTTTACCAGCCCCCATTGCTTATGTTTCTGCCATGCTTCTTTTTGTTTTTGTTGGTGGCCATGGGGCCTGAACTCTGTCCCTGAGCTCTTTTTGGTGGTTGTTGTCCAGGGTTAGTGCTCTACCAATTTGAGGCACTGTATCACTTCCAGTTTTCTGGTGGTTAATTGAAGATATGCATCTCACAGACTTTCCTGTACAGTCTGGCTTTGAACCGTGATCTTCAGATCTCAGCCTCCTGAGTAGTTAGGATCACAGGTATGAGCCACTGGCACTTGGGTTGCTATGGTTCTTTATATCAGCCCAATTCCTTCTTTGTAGAAACAGCTACATTTCCCAGAACAGTTAAAATAAAAATAAGCAATTAAAATAAACATGAGCAATTATTTTATTTTAATAAATTATAAATTTAAATAAACATTTAAAATAATTATATGCCATTAAAGATTTATTAGTATAAGTCAGGTATATCAGTGGCTCTTGTCTGTGATCCTAGTTACTTGGGAGGCTGAGATTGTGAGGATTAAGGTTTGAGGCCAGTCTGAGCATAAATGTGAAATCTAATTTCAATCAGTAGCTGGACCCTAGCTATATGAGAAGCACATATAGGTAAATCATGGTCCAAGCTGGCCTGGACATTTGTGAAAAATAACAAAGCTAAACAGGACTTAAGAGGTTGCCTAGCAAGCTCTAAGACCTGAGTTCAATGCCTAGTACTACCAAAAAATAATTTAAAAAAGATTCCTTAGTATATAAAATATATTTCTAATATAAAATATATTTCTAAATAGTGAAATCAGGCTGCCTATCAATTTGAGTAAGATACTTTCTTGCACAGAATCTGATTCTGAGGAAGCTAAGATATGCTGATGTGATTAGTCTCAATATTCTTTCCCAGGGTATCTATGATAAATAGTTCCCTTTTACTCCTGGGCATCTTGCATACATTTTCTTGCTGTCAGTCAAATTATCTTGTGCATACTGTATAGTGGCAGGGACACTTAGAAATGCTTGTTTGTATTGGGCTAATTCTTTCTAGTTGGGGGATGTGTATAAAATTTTATTCAAATGTAAGCAGTGAAATAGAGAGAGAATGGATAAAAGGGAAAGTAAAGGGAAAAGGATAACAGAGGGAAAGGATAGAAAATGATAGAAGTACAGAATTCCATTTATCCCTGAGTGTGGGAAGTAAATGCAAAATAATTTGAGGTACCACAGGTTCTTAAGCGTAATTAACAATAATGCACACAAAGCTTATGCTCTACCATACCCATATCCACACAGCAACCTGACTGAAGGATGGCAGATATAGGAGTGAGATGATAAGATATAACCCCTTTGAACAATGATCAGGCGGTTCATCAAGAATACAAAAAAAAGCAGAAATATGTCTTGACTGATGGGAGGTGAGGGTTAAGGGAAGGAGGTAGACAAATCACAAGAAGAATGGTGAGAGAATACTCAATAACATGCATGAGATAATACCCAATATGCGAATAATAACATACATACATGAAAACTAAGCTAGGAAACTTGAGGGGATGGGTGGGGAATGGGGTAGATGAGGGTGGGAGGAGAATGATGCAAAGGAGATGCATGGGACACAGACATGGACTGAAAATACACATATAAATGGGCAAGTCAACTGAAACCTCTTTGGTTTTTACTTTGATTTTTTAAAATTATCTGTAAGTAGTTATTCAAAAGGGGTCCTGAAACCCCATTGTATAACTGTGTGAAGAAGACAATAATAGTTTACAAAACCTTCTCCCTATCCAAAATACATAAAATAGAACCAAAATGCTTCTAACCTACATGTTTCTCTCTAAACTCTTGAGAAAGCTCCATTTCCCCCCAAGTCACCAGCACAGGAAGTGGCAGGTGCCTTCTTTGGCGGTCTGTGTGCTGACCCAGCTGATGCTGGCTCAGAGCAATTATGTGGGGATCTTTGGTGGTTTACTGCCTGACAGGGGTTGGCCAAGAAATGCAAAGAGGTAGAAAGTGTCTAGAAAGTCCCAAGATGAAGCTACTAGTCACTGAGGTGGCAACTACTCTTATTCACAGAATGAGACTTTGGCGGGTGGCAGAGGGTGTTATGAATGTTGAAAACCAAGAAAACAAGGACTACAAGTGAAGAAAAAGGTAAGATGAAGGGGCTGGGAAGGTGGCTCAGTGGTAGAGCGCTTGCCTTGCATGCATGAGGCCCTGGATTCGATTCCTCAGCACCACATAAGCAAAAAGAAAAAAGCCGGAAGTGGTGCTGTGGCTCAAGTGGTAGAGCGCTAGCCTTGAGCTGAAGAGTTGAGGGACAGCGCCCAGGCCCAGAGTTCAGACCCCATGACCGGACCCCCCCTCCCCCCCAAAAAAGGTAAGCTGAAGTAAGGAAGGGAAAAAGGGGGTTAAATTGGGACTCCTGATATTGGTTACAATGTGGCTTCCAGGCAGCTCCACCTAGTCTCTGAAATATGACTCTAGTCCTTACCCAGGGTATGTATGTATGTCCTCGCTCTGACAAACTTTGAACTATTTACTCTGTTTTCAGCTCAGGCAGCATCTCCATTATTTGTCTCCAGACATCTCCTTTATAGATTGGGACTCTCAGGTGAGCAAAGTACCTGCCTCATACAAACCTGCGTCGAGGAAAGTTGGCTCTGTCCTTCAGGCTGCTTCTACTACTTTTTGGCTGCCTTGTGGTCTTTAGTTCTCTTAGAAAATCTGCAGCTAAGGATAGGATCTGGGGCTGCCTGGGCAGAGAAGGGGGACTGAATTATAGACTGGGCTTGTTTAAAAGGCTTGCAGGGTCATTTTAATCAAATATCTCTTTTTTAAAAAAGACACAGTCTTTGAAATCTGATTGAAACTTGTCTAGCAAGGACAGCCAGTGAATCTGTGGGAAAACTTAGAATTTCAGTCCCCAAGAATCCTCTGGATACAATTAGAAAGCAGTCAGAAGACTCTGCCATCTCAAGGCCACTACCAAAAATCTGTCTTGAGGAATGGAGCTAATGAACTCATTCACACAGGTGCTGTGGCAAAACATGACATTTCTTTTTAAAGGTCTTAAAGGAACTGATGAACTATTTTTGACACCTAGGATTATCTGTGCCAATGAGAGAGATATTTTTGGGAGACAGGAAAAGCTTCTTGGAATCTATGAGAATGTAATTCCTGGAATTCAACCTATCCCTAACACTGACTCTTGACTATGCCTGAAAAAGAGCCATGGAGTCCCTTCTTTTCTAGGCCAAATTCTATCAGATGCACAATCAATTGAGTCTTTATTGGCACTTAGTATGTGCCAGATATTTTGTTGACCATTTTATAGTACATTAGTTTTGTTAACTCTCACATTTAGGTAGACTATAATTTAATCTTATTTTAATGTATCTGAATCAAATGATATCTCACCAAGTGCCTTTATTGGCTTGCAATAAATTGGAAAGTCCAGGCATGGAGTTGGCTTCAAATATGACTGGACTTAAACAATGTCATCAGAACCTTGTCTCTCTCTGTCTCCTGGCTGGGCTCCACCTTCCTTTCAGTGTTGGCTTTGTTCTCAGGTTCTCTGTGGGGAGGGGGGCGGCCCAGTCAGCTTGCAGTTTACTCCAGCCAGACAGTCTTTCAGCATCTCTATTTCAGGTGGAAATGGAGATCAGCTCTCAGGTGCAGCCCTCAGCTTCCTCCTGACTGCCCAGTTGCACTCTGATTAGATATGACCAAGTGCTCAGCTTTGAACTGGCCTCATGACCAGCAGCTTTGAAGACCAGTGGATAGAGACTAGGTGAGGAGGATCCCCAGTGGAAATTAGGGGAAGAGGCAGCAAGAAATCTTCATAATCTTTATGCATGTCATGACTAACTTAAAAGGAAGAAACTAAGACTCAAGAAACTAAGTAACTGGCCCTAGCTTGTGGCTAGAAATCAGCAGAACAAATCAGGTGTGGTGGCTCAAACCTGTAATCCTAGCTACTTGGGAGGCAAAGATCAGGAGAGAGCAGTTCAAGGCCAGTCTGGGCTAAAAAAAAAAAAATGTTTGTAAGACTTGATTTCAACCAATGGCTGGGCACAGTGGCACGGGTTGCTATGGAAGAAGCACAATGGCTAAGAGCAATGTTGGGAACCTGTCATCTCTAGTGACACAGGAACATAAGTAGAAAATCACAGCCTAGGCCAGAGCCATGGATTTGGTAGCATGTGGGAAAAAGCAGCATGAAGAGAAGCTGAAGAGTAGCTTAAGTGCTGGAGCATCTGCCTTGCAAGAACATGAGACTCTGAGTTCAATCATCAGTTCTGTTAAAAAAAAATAAGTAAGTAAAAATTGAAAAAAAAGATTGGCAGCAAGGAGCTTGAATCCTATTATACTTAAAAAAGCCATACTTCATCTTTAAATAAAAGCAAGAACAAATAACTAGAGTAAATAAATTAATGTCAAATTCTCCATAATGAAAATCCCCCTTATTGTCCTGGAAATTTATCACAGGGGATAAACTACAAGAAGCTATCTAAGGATTTATATCTCTCTTTCCAGTATGTCACTGGCTAAGCTCTGCTGCCAAGATAAAGAAAGGGAATGTGGCTATTGATTAAAGATACAAAGCATGTTCTTAAATTTGACATCAGGATAATTTGAACCAAAGATTCTGCAGACTTCAAGAAAAACAACGCATGAAGTAAATTCTTAGTATAATGTTTACTTTTCCTAGACACCAGACATGGATCTAGGAGCCTCCTGGTAAGGTTTTAGAACAGTCTTCTAGGAGATATGGCCACTGTTGATTTTGTTCTGAACTCTTAACCCCAAGCAATTATGAAGTTAGTTATTAATTACCTTATCTATTGACGTGTACTAACCATGATAAAGAAAGCTATGGTGTTGGCAGAGTTAGCTCAGTGCTGGACCTAGAACGCTGTACCTCTATAATTTCAGACAAACGACTTAACTTTGATGGTTCTTGTTTTCTTTGTCTATAAGATCTTTCTGTTTGGGTGTTCACATTAGCTAATCCTTTTGCTTTGAGTTTGTTTTTCAGATGGGGTCTTGCATTTTTTGCATGGGTAGGAAGCTGAGGAACAAGCTGAAAAAAGTACTCTCCCAGCAAGTTACTGACTAAAATCCTTCCACTCTCACCTTTTAAGTAGCTGGGATTATAGATGTGTGCTGCATCTCCTGGCTACTATTTATAAAATCTTTTAGATAAAGAAGATACATTCTTTATAGGTTTTTGTAAAACTCAGACAACAGTGTGTATCTTTAAGAATCAGACTGTATGTAACCCTTTATATATTTTACAAATATGAGGTATTACAATCTTCCCAATCTGAGAAGTTCATGATTGTCTGTTCATTTTAGCAGGGCACCAAAAGGCCAATCTATATCAAGTTACAAGTGAAGTCTGCTATATCAGCAGCTGATTTGAACTAGGAAAATAACCTTTTATTTAATAAGGAAACAGTGGCTTGCTGCCAAACAAAAGAAGTAAAGCACAACAAAGAAACACTAATGTGCTTTATTGGATTGAAATACAAAAACAAAAACAAAAGAGAATGTGATACAAGTATGTCAGGAGCTTCTAAGCAAAATGATCAGTTATGAAAATGTCACATGTTCCAACTTTTTCAACATATGGGGTTTCTGGATCATTTGCTCTCACCCAAAAGATTTTGTGTCCATCACCCCAGGTATGGGGTAAGAAGCCATGGGGGAAGAGAGCAATAAGGGTGATCCAGTTCTTCAGCATTGCATACTGGGGCAAGACTAAGATCAAATCAGTACAGAGCAACAATCTACCCTTGCTGCAGGCTATTGAAATACCCAAACAGTGACCACTTTTACCTGAACTGAAAGGCAAATTTCAAGGGCAGATTGTTGCTCTGGCAATATGGAGGGTCATCTTCCAAAGCATTCATTTACTAGTACTCTGCCTTGCACTATCAAAACATAAAGAAATTAACCCCTTAGATCATTTTCAATATTAATTAACACTCCCCCCCCCAAAAAAAACAAAACCATCCCTGACTTTCCTTGCTTCTTAACACTATATGAACACCAACTACCATTTGTGTGCCGGTTTGTGTGGAGGACTAGAAGCAGAGTATTGACCATGTTAACTCGATTCCAGCTACTGAAAACATCATCTGAAAATCCCAGTCTCTCACTAATGGAACCCCTGATGGATAATTGGCCTGCAAAGATGGTACCTGGGCTGAAAGTTTCCAGCCCTCAAACAAAAGGTGTGGATGATGGATGCTCAGATATTCTAAAGCAACATCCTGAGCCTAGAAGAGGCACAGGAAACCAGGATGCATTTGGTACCTTTGTATCCATACTATTGGACTATGGAAAGTAGTTGGCAAGGGGAAGCTGGGAAAGGAAGATGGAGGAGTCAGTCATAATGTGCTGTGTAAGCCACATCAACTTTGATCTAGAAGACAGTACAAAGGCACCACAAGGTTTTAAGCACATAACTGATAGGCACTTAAATAATAAGCAGTATATATTCTTTTTTAAATAATTAAAAGAAATAACATGTTCCAAAAACTTAGGCAATCAAAAAAGCACAGAAAACTAGACCAGATTTATTGAATGTGCTGGACACCTTACAGCTCTAGTGAGAAATGACACTGGTGACTGGGAGGGGGTGGCACGTTAGTGTGTGCTGATACTATGCCTCATGCTCTCACTTAGCTTTTCCACTCACAGCTAGTGCTGCACTACTTGAGCCACACCTCTATTTGTGGTGGTTAATTGGAGAAAAGAGTTTCATGAACTTTCCTGCCTGGCTGTCTTCAAGCCTCAATTCTCAGATCTCAATCTCCTGAGTGTCTAAGATTACAGGCATGACCCACTAGTGTCCTGCTCCAAAGAGTTTTTCTGTCCTTTCTCTATGGCCTGAAGGTGGGAAATGGGCTGATATCGACAGACCCCCATATCTCAGTCTTTTGGCATGCCCTGCATCTAGCTAGATGGAATAGTACTTCTGTTTTTAAACATGCCAATTTAGGACTTGCTGTAGTATTCTTAGTTCTTGAAAGCCTTATAAAATAGAAAGAAGAGGAGGAGGAGAAGGAAGAGGAAAAGGAGAAGGAGGAGGAGGAGGAAGCAGTAGCAGAAGCAGGAGAAGAGGCAGAAGCAGAAGCAGAAGAACAGAAGGAAGAGGAGGAAGAGATTTTCTTTAGAAAATGAAACATACCCATAATTCCACCAGGATTTTAAAAAAAAAACAAAAACTCCCTCCTTCGGAAGTATAGACCAGAAGAGTAAATATCTTCTTTCCTCTCAACATGGACACTTCATGTATATCCTCCAAAATTGTCTTTTATGTGTATGAAAATCTAGAAGATATGCCTAAATAGCTGGGTAGACATTTTGAAACATAGCTGCTGATTTTTTTTTGGACATTTTTTTCATCAAGGGTGGAGTTCATATTCCCATCCCTGGAATCCACATGAACTTCGGATTGCTTTGAACAATGGAATAGAGTAGAAATGAAGCTTGTGATTTCCTAGGCAAGATCATAACATGTCATGGTCTTTCTTGCACCTTGCTCCTGGGGATACTAGCTAGCATCTGAAGCCCTGAACCGCCACACAAGAATCGTGTCTGCCTTGAGGTCATGATGCAGGGAGGCCACACCCAGGTCGGTCTCTGTTGAACCAGTTCTTCAGCATTGCAAACCAGGGCACTGAGTCCATAAAGAAAGAACATTTGAAAATGGAAGTCATCTTTCTATTCCAGCTGTCCAGTCCCCAGCCCCACTAGAGACACATAATCACTAAATATCACAGGGCAGGGCAAAACTAACCCTGGTATACTCTGTCTGAATTCCTAACCATGGAATGTACAAGCACAATAAGATGGTGATCATTTTAGAATACTAATATTGGGGTTGCTTGTTACATCATGATAGGTAACAGGAATGACCGATCTATTCATATCAGTAAGTTCACATAATTAAACAGCCAGGCACAATGACCATGGTGGTTCATATCTTCAATCCCAGCTACTCAGGAGGCAGAGATCTGGAGGATCATGGTTAGGGAACAATCCATGCAAAAAAGCTAGTGAGATCTTATCTCAATTAATAACCCAGGCATTGTGCCTGATCCAGCTATGAAGGAGGCATCGATATCTGGGGGAAAAAAAATCCCAAAACCTGATAGGTGCTGGTAGCTCACACCTGAAATCAAGGAGACTTGGAAGTCTGAGATCTAAGGATTTCAATTCAAGGTCAGTCTGGGCAGGAAAGTCTGAGACTCTTCTCTCCAATTAACCAGCAAAAAACCAGATGTGAAGCTGTGGCTGAAGTGGTATAGAACTAGCTTTGAGCAAAAAAAGCTCAGGGATGGCACCTAGGCGCTGAGTTCAAGTCCCAGACCAGCACAGAAACGAAATAAACAGAATCATAAGACCTTACCTGAAAAATAGCTAGAAATGTCTAGCTCTTAGGGAAGGAACACAAAGGTGCAATGCCTCTGTGCTTCTGATCATATAAAATAATATTTATCAAAATGAATTCCAGGAAATGGAAACAAGAAGAAAAAAAAAGGTCTGTGGCTCAAACAGTGTAATACCTGCTTAGTGAGTCAAAGGTCCTGAGTTTAAACTCCAGAGAAAGAGAGAGAGAGAAGGGAGGGAGGGAGGGAGGGAGGGAGGGAGGAAGGAAGGAAGGAAGGAAGGAAGGAAGGAAGGAAGGAAGGAAGGAAGGAAGGAAGGAAGGAAGGAAGGAAGGAAGGAAGGAAGGAAGGAAGGGAAGGAAGGAAAGAAGGAAGGAGAGAGGGAAGGAAGGAAGGAAGAAAAGGAGGGAGAGAGAGAGAGAGGGAGAGGAGGGAGGGAGGGAGGAGGAAAGGAAAGAAGAAGGTGTTTCTTTCAACACCTTACAAATGCTAAGTAGTATGTTTAAGGGAGCACACAGGGGACATCTGTATGAGGTAAGGAACAAGTTTATAGACAATGCCAAGTGGAGTAGGAGAGAGTAGAAACTCAGACCCACTGGTCAGTCTCAGCATGGGAGTACATACTTGTAATTCCAGCACTCTGGAAGCAGAGACAAGAATATTGGGAGTTCAAGAACATCCTGGACTCCTGTCTCAAAAAAATATGAAACACCATGAAACAAAAGATGGAAAAATGAGGCACAGGGCTGTGAATGAAAGTCTCCTTCCGCTTGGCTCAGTCTTGCTCTCCATGTACAGAGTCGGCTTTCTGACTCCAGGCTGTGATTATATGGTTTCATTTCACAAATGGGATGCCTTGAATGTTAGGCTGTAGACTACATTAATCAATCTATTTTGTTTTATCTTACATGCTTACTTAAGAGCCTTGTATATGTAGAAAGAAAATATATGCAAAGTAATGTACAAAGCAGAGCCTTGTCATTATTTTAAGCTCAGCCATTTTCCCTGTCAATGAACAAAAGGCCCCTGGGTCAGTCTCCATGAGATCAGCCTCCTGTAGTCAGGCAGTCAGGAGGGGTGGGTAAAACAAGTGTACGGACCCCAGAAAGAAAGGAAACAATTCCTCACAACCTGCTCACTAGGATGTTTCAAGCTATTCCATGCCAGGTTCTAGGACAGTGTCTGTGTCTGCAGCAAACTATCATTTATATTCTAAAAAATGGTCTGCAAATGTGTGAATCTGCTCATAAACAAAACACTAGAAGCATACAGACCCAGACCCCAAATGGCAAAGACTATTATCTGGAGGGGAAGGGTATGTGTGGAATTACTTCTGCTTTGGTTGTTTTGTTAGATCTTTTGTGCCTTTAAAAACTGTTTTCTGCACATATATTGCTTTGAAACATGCACAGGCACACACAGTTGGAAATTAAGCCTTCTCTTTATACATCTTGCCTATGTTTACCATGACTAGTGTTTCCTGCAGATTCCCCCTTAGCTCATCTTACTGAACTAGGAAATCCCAGAGTCAGGGACTGCTTTACAGAGTAGAGAGGACACTTCTGATTCTGTCTTTCAAAATTCTGTTCTGAGCATTTCTGTACCGCTCACCCCTGCAGTACCAAGTACATGGTGGTTCCTATCCAATCTTGTGCTTTCAGGTCACTTTCTCTCTGGCACTTCTATATTCTCCCATTTTCACACTGTCCATCCAAGTGCTAGTTTCCCCAGTAAATGGCAGTCAGATGTTAGAAATGGAACCAATATCTATTAAGTTCATTCATAACATTTGAATAGTTAATAGCCTCAGACTCACTGGGTTTTTAAAGGTTACCTAGTTCATGCTATTGTGTCTCTAATTGGTGCTGTTAAAACTCTAGCAAATGCAGATTTTCACGCTCCCATTAGAATCACGTGC